TGGGTTCCTCGAACCCAGGGGTAAAAAACATATATATTTTTTCTGTGGGTTTGGTGTTTGATGATGATGAAGAAAGCAAGGCAAGGAAGAGGAAGGAAAAAAAAAGGGCGTTGTTGGGTTCGATTCAACCCAGGTGCTGGGTTTGTTTGCTCCAGGAAGGAGATGATGGCAAATTCGTAATTTTGGTGGGCCCCACTTTTGGTAGGTTGGGCAAGGACATGACATGTCACGTTGCCATGTCATTATTTATTCATTTATACAACTGACGTGTCTCGAATGTTTGACATGTTATTAAATTGTCGTGAGATAACGGTGAGATTTTAATGGAAGGACCAAATCGGGGTGAAAATGGTAAACAGTAGGGATCAAATCGGGATTTTTTTAGTTCAAGGACCAAATCGGGGGTCCGTACAATAGTTCAGGGACCAAAAAGGGGTTTTAACCATTTATTTTTCCTCTCTTTCCATTTGAAGAAATTGGAAGGGCATATAGAACAGCACATTCGAATGGGATTTTTCTTGAAACTGGAAGTGGGAAGGTTATAATCTGCTGTGATATTATCAAGCTTGTAACTAGATTGTGCTTCAAATGCAAATAACAAAAGTAATACAGTTTAGTCCACTAGATACCTTGTAAGTTTTCTCTCTTTGCATTTTTTTAAGAAATTGTTTTTCCTTTGTAAAGCTATTATTGAGATAAAGACAATAACAACTGACAAGCTTGTGATCTGATTTTGTCAAGCTCAAGCATGCCTTCTGCAAGAGTTTCTAATTTTAATTGCAAGTTTTTATCAACTTGGCTGAGTCAAGCAAACGGTAATAATGATATCAGTGGTTGTTTTTTTTCCACACAATATTGTTCAGGATATCAGATATGTTAGCTGAAATGCTATTCTTATCAAGTAAAGATTCATTTTTTCTTGCAGAGTATCAGAGGGGTACCTTTTGTTGAGAAGCTTGAGCTTCCTTAAAATGAAAAAAGTTTGATTGCTGCAGATTAGAAAGTTGTTATTCCAGGCTCCCAACATTTTGTGATTTGACCAGCGCGTCCTCTGTACGAAATTTTCCTCTTGGAGAGAGTAACTCAATTTTCTCCTACATTCGCTTGTGACCTTATGACCTCTGCTTTTATGCTTTGGAAGAGACAAAGATTAGTTGATCTGCCATTTCATTTTTGTATTCTGAGTTTGGCAGTTGCACATTGTATTTAAGTTCACAAGTTTCTACTTTGTTGATCCATGTTAAAGCAGTATTTAATTGGAATTTCACGCTTGATGGAAACTTTTTTTGTTCTGGTTTAAATTTTCTGTAAATGTAAGTTTATTCATTTCATTATCTGAATTGGATATAGACCATGATGGTAACTTTATTTTGTTCTGTTTATGCTTATCATTATGCTTTTTTTATTTTTGTAGCATATTTAAAAGGTAGAAAGAATAATAACTGTAAGATCAACAACAAATGCAGAAGAATTAATTCGTATGTAAAGTAATGACAGCAAAATCTGCAAAATCTGCAAAATCATCCTAAACCCATAAACTTTTGATGAAGAAAGAGAACATATTTCATTGCATTGCTGGGATTGGACTTCTGTAAATTTGATTATGATATGTTGATATATATATATATATTTGCTTTATTTCGGCATCTTGAATGAGTCTATTATAACCTTTAGGCAAAGTATTAAAAGAAGAATTTAAAATTAGTCTTTCTGGCATGTGGATTGGCATACATTGCAGAGGAGGGTGTAAGCCTTATTGTGGCAGCAGCCTCCAATCCCCACGGAAGTTGTATCGGTTATTGGAGGCTCTTTTTTATCTGCTGTGTTCAAGATACAAATCACACTAGTAATACACAAATTAACATTATAATCACATCACTAATATAATTTTAATTATAAATCTTTGCCTTTATAAAAGTGCTTTTTAAAAGTAAACTTTACACAATGTATCTTATCATATAACATAACACCATTTAACTTGAATCATTTATAATAAACTCCCATTTATTTAGTCTATGCATCACTATCTAGAATAAACCTCCATATTCATAATTTAAAAAATAAAAAATAACAATGCTTGAGTCAATTACTTCTTTATTCTAAATAAGAATGGTGAAAAGAACCATAACTTGAAATAGAGAATAGGGAATATTCTCACAAGAATATAGGATACAATATCATTACTTCATGATTATAATGTTGATTAAATAAGTTAATAGAATTATGTAAAAAAAATAATAATAGAATGAAACCTTAACAAGTTAATTTGTAAGAAAACCACCCCTTAGTGTATATATAAACTTGTAATCATTATTAATTGCTCTAGCTTTAATTACTTTGAGTTAATGAATAAAATAATTATTTTTTTGGATAAAATATCACATGCATTAATATAAAAGGAACAACTTTATTCCTTATTTTTAATAATTCATTTTCCAACTTTCTCAATTGGCAACTAACTTTAAATGACATGGGCAATGTGATATGATTAATGGATATATAATTTTATTGATAAGTGAATTAATAAGAATGATCTTATAAAAAATAATTTTTTTTGACAAAAAATTCTTTATAAAATCAAAATAAGAATCCTCTTTAAAGACTCACACTTTTTATAGCTAATATATACAATCACTCTTTTTGAGTAGATAATCATATACATTAATTTTAAAAAATAAATATTTCATAATTTTTATTGAAAAATTTGTAAATTTTAATAAATGACTCACTTTGATAGCATCACCATATCAATCATAAATTCTCACTAAAACACTTACTTATCCATGTATTCTAGAATCCTTATATGCTAATAAACATGTGAATCTTTTAATAAATCATTTAATTGTATCATCTACATCAACTCATAAACTCCTACTAAAATAATTGTTTATAAATAATGTAATATTTCAAAATCATTATTGGAAAATTGATTAATCTTTCACTAAAACAAAATTTCTTAATATTCTAAAAAAATTTTATGACAAAAACCATTAATCCTAGAAATCATAATGTTACCTATATTAATCATAAAATCTTATTATGACTTTTGTCCATATATACGGTTCTATAATCCCTTTTAATCGTATTTTTTATAATTTTTAATAACAATAATTTTTTAATAATTAGATGTGTGAATTTAGAGAATTTTAAAACTTTCAAAAAGACCTTCAATATTAATTGGTTCTATTATTTAATACTAAAAGAAAATCATATAAAATCATTATTAATATCTTAAATGAATCAAGACATACAAATATTAAAATTCATAAAACTTTTTCAAATATCTTTTTATTTAAGATTTTAAATTTCAGATACTCAAAATAGCGCAATAATTAAATTGTCACCAACATGCACAATAAACATTCATGATAATTTTGTAAAGGTAATTAATTGCTAATAAAATTTAAGGAAATGCTTTTGAAACAATCATTTTGTCTCACTTTTTTATACAACTTGTCGTGTTATTAAAATGATTGGTTATTTTAATTTATGTGGAATCCGTGATATTGAGTACATCCACTCATTTAATAACATATAAAAATTGTATAAAAAAGTGAGACAAAAAAATTGTCCCTAGCACCACCACCCTAAAATTTATTATATATCCAATTATTTAATCTTAAATTATATCTCAATAAACATTCTTAATAATTTCTTGAAGGTAATTAATTACCAACAAAATTTATTATACATCTAACTATTTACTCTTAAATTATATGTCATAAATTATATCCAACCTTTAATCCACAAAATTTATTTATAGATTTAGAATTTGAATACTTAAATTATAGAATTTATATGCTAAAACTCACGTAAGCAAATAATTTTCTGTTGAATAAAATATTAATATGAGTAAGATCAATAATTTAGTTACCTTATACTATTTTAATTTGACTTGATATAACTTGATAAGTTATTGAAACTATTATTCTTAAAAATTCTTAGCCCACCTTTGATATATATATCTATATATATTCTGAAAGTTTTCTAAACTTTTATATAATTAATAGAAAATAACAATTATGTTTTCTCTAAATGCCTAATTAGTTTTTATAAATAGTTCATTGTCAACTGCAAATATATTGTTTACATTCAAAGATATTTATTATGCTTATTTGAAAACAAAATACCATAAAATCCACATAGATAAATAATTGTTTATGAGAATTAATTAAACTTTTACGATTATCTATTTATTTATCTCATCACCATAAATTTCTTTATTAATAGTCAAATTTAAAAACTTTACAAATAAGCAATATAATGTGAGTTCAAGAAATTTAATCTAAGGATATTATAATATATAAATAATAGAATATATAAACTCGCACACCTTCATGTGTAATAGATTAATTGCTCTAACAAAATCCTAAAACTTAATGTCAAAAATGTATTTTATAACATATATCATCATATAGATGATAATATTTACCAACTAATTTCAAATTAAAACATGAAAATTGTCATATTAAAAATTTATTTATCACTAATCATGTATCTTTAACTTCTAAGTAATATATATTTTATGAGTTACATTTAATATATACTTTAATCTATGCAAAATAAATATATATGTTTACTATATAAATAATTAGTTTAATTTATAAAATTTAGACATCCAATAAATAATTTTTATGTACATATAATTATTGGATAATATTATATTAAATTAATAAATAGTTTTCACATAAAATCTAATATACATTATGTATTATTAAAAAAAATACACAATTAAAAGAAATCTTAGTTAAAGAGAAGTGGGGAGTACATCAAAGAATTAAAGCTTCAATTGCATAAGTGCTGAAAATTGCCTAGGTGTCAACTTCTTTACATTGAAAATCAAGTCCGTGTCGGATTTGCATGCAATTGCTAATAATTGAGTAAGTGTCGACACTTTAAGACCAAGTGTCAATACCCTCATCCAGTGAAAAAACAAGTCCGTGTCGGACATTTGGATCATCATGCAAATTTTTTTAAGGTGAAATGACAATAATAGCCCCTCAACTTTGCTATTATTATTTTTAAAAGTTTTGTTTAAATTAATTAACTTAAACAAAATAACAAAACATAAAGTAACGAAAGGCTAAGATAAGACTAGGAATGGCAATTTGCCTCGATCCCCGCGGGACCCCGTGGAGATCCCTGTCACAGGGACGGGGTGGAGAGAAATATTCTTTCCTGCGGGGCGAGGATGGAAAGTATTTTCTCCTCGTGAAAATTTACGAAGAATTTTTCCCATCTCGCGGGATCCTGTGGGGATCCTCATCCCCGCGAAAAATTAAAAAAATATATAAATTAGTTTTATTTTAAATTTAATTCAACTTTCAAACCTAAATCCAATTCAGTAAAATTTAAATTTAATCCAATTTTATCCAACTTATTATTAACCTTTTAGTTATTTATGTTAGATTGATCTTTATTTATATTTGGATAATTTATATTTAAAGAATTTTAATTAATTATACTTGAATTTTTAAAAGTTTATTTATTATAATTGAATATTAATTAATTATATGTAAAAAAACAAAAAAAATTTATTTTTTTATATTAATTGGTGGGGAATGGAGATCCCCGCGGGGAACGGGGATGAGGGGCAAAATTTACCTCCCGTTAAAAATTCCCGTCGGAATCCCCACCCGTATCATTCGCGGGGATGGGGACGGAGAGGAACGCCCCGACCTTGTGGGACACCGTTAACATCCCTAGATAAGACAAGCCCACACCACACAAGTCTCAAAAAATTTGGGGAGTTCCAGATTTCCTTCCACAAGACAATAACCTATTTTTACATGAATTTTTTTATTATAAATTGAATAATATCTTGTAAATTAAATATTTACCTCATATGTCTCAAAATATTTTGTATGGTTTCATTGTCTATTTCAAAAAAATATTTGGTATAGTCTTGTTTATAATCATTTATAAAAATTATTTTAAACACTTAAAAAAGATAAATGAATTAAATAATAATTTATCTTGAATTTAATATTTAAACATTAATATGTAATTTTACTAAATCTTTTACTCTTTTAAGGACAAATTTGCAATAAATAGAACTACTAGGAAGACTAAATAGGCACCTGCACTTGTGGGATGACCGACAAATGGACGGTTCTAAAAAATGCATTTTTACTACTACGGTATTGATTTAAATTTTTTATTTTTTGAAATTTGTAGTTGTTAAAGAGAAAAAGAACAAATAATAGTTTTTTCATTAATCATCTCTCTTACAACAATTTTTCTTGTTTCTCAGATGTTTAAAGTGATATTATTTTCACATATTTAATTATTAATATTATATTTTTTATTTTAATTAATTATTACATTTTTTAATTTACTAAAAAATTAAAAAATATAAAATTTTAAAAAAATATAATATAAAAATATAATAAATAATTATATTAAAAAATATAACATTAATCATTTAAAATGTGAGAAGAACTTCACCCACGTTTTCCCGCCTTTTTATTTATTTATTTCTTTCCTTTCAACTTAAAACAATTGCAAGAACTTCAATACCAAAAATCAAAAGAATATGATGGCAGAAGCCCACGCGCTAAAAGACTCGACTGCATCAGTTGGTGATGTATTCTTCAACCTTCTATATTTTATTAGGTTAGATTGGAGGCACGACATATATTTGCAAAATTAACGCGGCTGAATTCTTTTTTCCTTTTATTTTAAGACATATAATAAAAAATAATTTTTTATTTTATTATTTTTAATTTATTTTATTTATATATTATGTAATTTAGATTTAAAATTTTTTATTTTTATTAAAAATATTATTATTAAATTATTTAAGGTATTCATAATTAAATTATAGTTTATGTTTCAATATGAAGAGATTTAATTGACAACTACAATGTATTCAGAATTTTGAGGTTTATAAAATTTACCCATTCAATTCCAATTAGTATTACTAAAATTTAATAAATCACAAAATATTGTTTGGTTATCTGTGAATTGAGGTTTCTCAAAAATTTATAATTATAATTCTAACTCAATTCATCATCACTATGATTACTTTTTTTATGCACAGACAGCATACCATGACCCAAAATCTATATGCATTAAATCCTGAATTAAACTTGGCTCTTTAACACAATCAAGAAGTTTCAGACTCGGTATGAATATATATACCAATTTTGAAATCAAAGATTTCGAGCTAACTCAACAAGTACATTCTCAAGAACCACTTACAAGTTTAATTCTCGTTTAAGTTTAAATTTATGTTAGAATTTACAAATTAATATATGTAGAGTTCCAAAATATAAAAATATAATGAAATAAATAAATTGAGTATTTTACACTTTATAATTAATATATAAGATTAGAATATTGCTAAGATTATCAAATATTATCATAATTTTAATTACAACCTACAAAATAAATGAGTAGTATTGAAATTTAAGTCTTTTCCTTCTTATTCAATTTTTATATAATAATGATGATTCATATCATTTTATAATTTTACTATTTATATAATTTGAGTTTTCTAAATGAAAGAATTAATCTAATTCATTATAGTAATTTAAAATTTTCATCAAACAACTTATTTTTAATTTTAAACTCTATATCTATTTATATTACAATATATAAATATGAAACAAAATTTAAATCCACTTAAGTCATATAATTTTATTAAATTTTATTGATTTTTCTATTTGACTCATTTTATATATATAAAAAAAAAAACCAATTAATGACAATCCACGTGCAAATTTCTATCACGTGCAATCAAATCCTAACTCAAAAAAATAAAAAAGCATGGTGATATGGTGACCCCCACCACTACAATACTCCGCCAGAATTAAGACATTCTCTTAACCCACAAATGAATGAAAATCATCCGCTTGCATTGCCATACTTGGAGTACCCGAACCATCCAACGTTACCTTCGCTGCCCTTCTACCTGCAACATCACCTTCCTTTCTTTTCTTTACCCCTTTTTTTTTCGAACTAGGGGACAGCAACATGCCACGTCCAATTCTTTTGCAAGTTTTCCTCGAGGTGCTTTGCCCCTCTTTTTTTAAGTACACTTGGTAAAATTGCATTCAACTTGAATGTTTAATTTAACTTATTTGTTATAGATAGGGTTATAAATTTAAAGTATTAATATTAAATTTTATATTATCAGGCTAAAATTATTTGGATTTGATTGAATTGGGTTAAGGTTGAGTTGAATTAATTTAAAGTGATGATTTGATTAAAATTAATTTTTTTTAAAATTTAAAAATTAAAATTTTAATTAAAAATATTTTCAATTTTAATTTTTAAATATAAAATAAAATTAATTAATATAAAATTATTATTTATTAAATTATTAGAATTAATATTAATTTAATAATTTTTTATTAAGTAATTAATTAATATTAAAATTTTTAAAGAATATTAGAGAAAATATTACAAAATTTTGTTTTTAATTTTAATTTTTAAAAAAATTAAATTTACTTGATTGGATTTAAGACCATATAAGTAAATTATAAATTTACTTCTTTTATTTCAAATTTAAAATGACTAAATTTAATAAATATAAAAGTTAAGGTGATTCAAATTAAACCCAACTAATCCGACCTAATTGACAGCTCTCTCCTTGCTAGCTTGGCTAGATGCCATATTTTTTGCCTCTGGCTGAGCCACATGTTACAAAAACATTTATTTGTTTGTTTGTTTTTTTTTTTTTTTTTGTAAGAAGAATTATAATATTATGTTAATATCTGTTAAAAAAAATCAAGTTGAGACTTAATATGAGAATCGAGTGCGTTCCACTTGCTCCTCGCTTTGAAAAAACGTTGCCGCTCCTGCAGCCAAGTGGATGGGGGAATGCTATTTGTTTGTTTCTTTCATTGTCTTTGAAAGCCAATCCATGAAATTAAGTGGCAAGCTCCACGTCTGTCCTTTTAGGTAGACCGTTTGAGAGACATCAGCCCCTGAATCGTTGTTACAGAAATACGAAAAGATTAAACCTTGATTTGGTCCCTTAACTATTATATAAAGTTTTAATTTGGTATTTAAATTAAAAAAATTTTTGATTTGGTTTTTATTATTTATTAATTTAATTCTAAATTGATCTTTTCATACAAAAATAATTAACATGTCTTATTATTAACATAATATATAATTATTAAATAATAATTTTTTATTATTAAATAATAAACACGTCAATTATTTTTTAACAAAAAGATTAATTTAAGATTAAATTGATAAATAATAAGATCAAATCCAAATTCTTTTAATTTAGAGATTAAATTATAAATCTATATAATAGTTAAGGGACTCGATTAGAGATTTAACCGTACGAAAATCAGGCTTTCAATATAGTATTAACATAAATATAAGTACTTGCATGAGCTACTAGCCTACTACACGTTTGTCCAGTAATTTTGTAGGAATTACGTGTAGCTTTCAAAGACGACGCTTTCTTTTCTAACAACAGTGAATTGTAACCTTTACAATTCAAGATTCATTCATGGCTGAATAAGTATTAAGTATTGTTTTATATATTAATTTTAAAATTTAATTTTTAAAGTTAATATTTAAAAGAGATAATTTTTTAAGGACAATGATTGGTG